GTTTAGCTCACACACACCAGTTCACACACATACAATCCACCTACACATACACACAGGCAAGTTCCTAACTTGGACAGTACAATATGGTGTATATGTGTGCGCTTGGGGGAAGGTTCAGGTGAGAGAGAGAGTTAAAGTTTAGGGAGTGAAAGTTGCCAGAACTGGGATTAGAACCAGTGGACTAGAGAGAAGCTGGCTGAGGAACTGAGGCTTGGATTTACTTAAGGTAGATTGGGGCTGGAAACTGAGGCAGACAGCTGAGCTATCGGGGGCAGGGGGGTGCAGATAAGTGCTGGCAAGGAGGAGTTAGCCAGGAAAGAAACTGAGGCAGAAACCTGGTTGCTCAGGGGAAAAGGAAAAGGCAGTGGGAAAGAAACAGGGGGTTTGGGGGCAGAGAGGAGCTCTGGACAGGTGTTGGAAGTAGCAGTGAGCCAGAAGCAGGAGAGGGAGAAATGAGACAGAAGTTAGAGGGGGAAGGAGCAGAGACTGGAGCAGGGCCAAACCATAGTAAAGCAAAACCCAACTTAGGGGTCAAAATAACAGTTTTATTAAACAGACAACACACTACACAGCCCCATGAAGTTATTGGTTTACACACACACACATACTCACTCACAATGGCAGCAGGAGAAAGAGGCTCAGTGAAAGGGTTGGAGTCCAGGTAGGGAAGAGAAGCAGAGTCCAAGTCTTTGGCTGAAGAAGGGGTAGGGAGTGATAGCTACCTATCCAGGCTGGAAAGGGGTCCTTGTCTAGTAGGTGTTGTCCAGAGTGGGGTTGCTGGCAGGGCGTCTGGGTGGATAGGTGGTGTGGCATGGTGCTGGTCCAGATGGAGAGGGTGTCCCACTGGGTCTGTCTTCACTGCCCCTTTTCATAGGGGCAGACCTTGTGTGACCCTATTGACAGGAGGCATGCCCAGGCAAGGGTCAGCCCCTGGTATACTGAGCATGTGTGCTCCATGTAACGATGTGCAGTTTTGGGTGTCTATAATGGTGGGGTACAAGGGTAGAGTTGCTGGTTCTGCAGGCTCTTTTGTCTTTCAAATGCTGAGTTCTTGTCTCTGTTTCTGGGTGAGGTCCATGGTTCCTGGATTAATCAATGTGAGGTGATGGCCCAGTCCTTACAGGCCATTCAGTAGAGGCCTGCTACCATTGTATTTCAATCATTTCCAATCAGTCTCATTCATCCAGGAACCAATTTACATGGGAGGGGTACATGAATCATACAGTTGCAACACAGGGGATGCCTGGGCAGAGGACACAAGATGGAGGCTTGACATACAAAATGGAAATTTGACATGACTTATGCTAACTTACATATATAGGCCTAAACATTAATCACACAATATAAAAGCAGTACAAACATAATAATTATCACTTATAAAACAGTGGGTAGCGATATCAAAATAGCAGGGAACTTATTTGCAAAGAGGGGAGAGAAAAATTAAACTTACTACCTAAAATAAAATGTTAAAGCTTTTCCTACATCTTAGCTTACTTATACTTATCTATAGGGAATAGAGAGGGAGAGAAAAAGTCAGAAGTGGTTGGGGAAGGGGAGGTAATGCATTTGAAAATAAATAATAAAAAAAAAAACTGGGGGTTTTACTACACTATTAAATCCGCACACATTGTTTGCATGCTAACCTCAGCCTCTGTTCTGGGGAAAAATAATCAAAATAGTTGTCATAATTTTGCTTTACTACATGCTAGTGTAACTAAGGGGTGGGGAGTGACCAGGACACCAACCCTGGGTGCTGACTTAAGGTGGGGCATAAAAATAGCAGTGACCATGCTGCTGGCCTACCCACCATCACTGGCAGCTCATGTGCAGGTGGATACCCTATGCACCACTGCTGCCCAGGGTATCACCTGCATAACTGCACAGTTATATACCTCTGTTAATACATAGTCCCTGTAAAGCCACTATTTAATATGTTCTTTTGGAATACTTAAGTACTTTCTTCCTTGGAGTCGAAAGGTCAAATGTCTGCCCATTCAACCATTTATTAGACAGCCATCATCACTCTAGAGGACAGAGATTAGGGGCTGGTGGATAAATCCATTAAGTGGTAGAGACAGTGGCTTTCTATTTTGGGCAACATGTTTGCTTCTGAATGATGCAAGGTGCCCATAAATAAAGTACCCCCAGCTACACAAAGAGAAAGGACCTTGAGAATGCATACAACCTCTTATTCTACCTAAAGTGCAAGAAGAAGAAAGTATTTATTAAGATGTTTTATAATCAGAAAGAATTAATTGGATAACAGTCCCTTGTTAAAACTGGCAAGGGATTATAGGGTTATGCCCCTTTTGTTCCTCTGCACTTTTGGAAGAAAGTACTGGCCCTACACTTTAATGAAATATTAGTGGTGTAAGGTAAACATGGAGTGGAACTGCGATGCTTTTGCTAGCCATAAACTGGGAAGAATGGCTGTCTGGTTCCCTGCATAGTGGCCAAGCATTGTTTGCCTTTATGCTATCAAGTACATCATAAAGATGGCAACAGGTGATAGTAAAGGATACCAGAGTCTTTTGAAGTTTTTTCCATGTAGGCTGCTTGATCTGTTATAGATCTGCCATTACACCCAATATCATGTGTGGTCCTCTCCTGTGGGCACTGATACCTTTTCTTACATCTGTTTCACTCCTTGCCTCCTTCAATAAGACTTGTTGTGAAGAGGATAGATAATATCAAAACAACGTAGGAAACCGAGAGAACAACCAAGAAGAGAATCACTTTAAACAAATGGATTTGTAAAACTTGATTGTTCTATGCCTGACCATGCCAGAACTCTAATTTGAATTAAACATAAGGTGACTCCTTTCACTGAATCAATAAGTGCAAATAACAAAGCTTGCAACCATGTTTTATTTCACAGACAAAAATGGTTCTTAAAAGCTTTCTGAAGGCTATGCTTGAGACACCTGCTGTTAAAGTTGTTTGCTTTTTCCTAGAAAATTTGGTCTTTTACAACATTAAAACAGACAAGCATGCAGTCAGCACACTTGGGGCTAGAATTTGTAGATGTTTGAAAGGCACATTTCTTAATGAACACCATAACTTCTGCAAACTTCCTTGTAGCAAATATAAATGGCAGGGAGAGAGTGTGGAAAAACTCCATTGCAGCTCTCTCCCCACACTCACAAACTTCTAATTAGGGCTGCCTGGTTTGTAGACACAGACGATTCCTATTGTTGTTTAGAAAGGTCAGTTTGCTGGTTAGCCGCATGACTCTCACTTTCATAATAATGGATTCTGTAGCAACATCCAGTTCTTCTCTTATTCTTCTTTGGTATGAATGCTCTGCTATTTGGGTTGCTACAGGGACCTCATAGCATGTATTTTGCAGCAATTGTTTCTGTTCTACAAATATGCTGTTGCATATTATAATATTTGTTGATTTTTTGCAGCTGGTGTATGAATGCATTGTAGTCCCAACAGGAGAGTAATTGTAATGTAGACACTGACTACAGCTGTTTACTGCAGTATTCCACTTCATGACTGGTGATACAAAGGGAGAAAAAGTTCCTAGGAAAATGTGTTTGATTTACAGTATCCAACTCTATAAAGGCACAACCTTATAGCCTGTTCCTTCCCCAATAACTTGTTTTCACATAGATCATTCAGCAAACCTTCCATGAAGACAAGTTACCTCTATATCGGTCACTTTTGCCACCTGCTACAGTTTTCTTTCATCTTCCCCTTTATCAAAGACAGGTCTCTGCATCTATCTTCCCTTTCCTGACCTTGAAGCACCTAAAGCACTGAATAGCATCACTGGGAATCAAGGAGTCTCAAGCATGCAATGCCTTGCAGAACTCAAGACGCTTAGCACCTTTCAAAGGTTATTTTTCCCCCATAAGTCTCTAAATATTACATTGCCCTCCCATTTTTCACTCTTGCGCTTTCCCATATTGAATGTTATAGCCAAGACTTGCCAGAAAAATGAAAGTAGAACTGATTTTTCAACTATTTTGTTTTGAAAGTTTCCCAACCCCCATTTTAAAGCTACACTTATGAGGGGAAACATCCTTAATTGATGTATCGGTGTTTATTGGATGTTATTTTATGCCAGAGGAGGAGCCTGAGTGGTATTACTCTGATACTGATTTGTAACTTGTATTTTACAAAACATTTACAGTTGTTCATTTAAACTGAAGTATGGACAGCCGGCTAACTACACATATCAACATGATGTTGTTAAATCTAATTTTTTTTCAGAAGTGCTTAAGGGGAAAGAAAACATCCATACCTAATCCAGATTGAGTCTTTAAAAGGAAACCAAAATAAAAAGTAAAAGCCCAAAAACTGAACATTTTTTTATTGCTATTTTAAAAATATGAATTTAGACTGACAACCTATATACAAATATGCAACATGATCAGAATTCAAATGGTGAAAATGTTATATGCAGAAAAAAATACCCCATGAAAAAGCACTGTAGTTGGTTCACATATTGGGTAAGCATTTGTGGGCTTGATTTCTTTTCCACAAAAAAAAGACATAACCTAAGAAACTTAATTTTAAAAACCAAATATTCACTCCACCCTAACTAAATGTTGCATGAATAAACAATGTAGATGATAAAGCAATTATTTCATACACTAGGCAGAAGCTTTCGTGTTAATTAGACAATCATTGGCAGGTGTATTTTTGTAGATGATTTCTAAAAGTCCAATGGATTCTTATTAATCCTCTGGTATTAATTATACATGTTCATTAAAAAGGTGCATGTGCACATATACACATGCATTTTTATGATCATAAACTCAGTTACACTTTAAAATTAACATAACTTCTGAATTAAGAAGGAATATCTATGTTGGAGAAGGCCAATAGAAAAGCACTGTTAGATTAATTTGGTCACTTTAGGGGTGGGACAAGCTAAGAGCTTCAATCACACGTCAGAAAATGACACCAAGCACCCTAAATATTTATACAAACCACTCTTGTAGTTTGGATAATTGCATGTAGGTTAGACCTCAGCTGGTTAAATACATAATAAAAAGTAAGTAAATTACTATTGAGAAAAACAGTGTGCTTAATTTTTTGACAGAGCAGTAACAGCAGTTTACAAGCACATAAATTATACAGAATAGACACTGTACTTTTTCCCTTTCACAATGATATTTAGTGAGTGCTCTAACAGTCCCTAAACCAACTGTTTATAAAAGCCCCAGTGGAAAGGATCCATCCATTAACTTTATCTGAAAAATAAAAAGAACCCTACCGTTAGTTATGGAAGTAAAAAATGGCTGACAGTAGTTTCCTGGCTCTTGGTGGTTTTACTGTGCTATTTACAATGATAGAGAGGGAATGTGCAACTCCAAAGCTGCTGGAAATTAAAAATGACTCCATAAATAGATAATAGAAAATTACCAATGTTCTACCAAATGAACATGGATTTACCTGAAGAGCTACAGCTAGTATGTTATTGATTCACAAAGAAAATACTTTATTTGTGCAAGTAAAATTAATGGTATCATATGAAAAATACATGACACCTGCTTAGCAACTCCCAGTCCCATTATACAGCCCAAGGACTTATGTTGATACTGGTCATAAATATTATATATGTAACGAAATTTAAATTTGATACTAATTTAATTTAAGTATAAAAGTCCAGGAATTAAAATGATGGCTCTCAAAGCAGTACTAAGTCAAGCATAGTGTGTGTGTTCAGTTGCCAGCTTGTGATAATTATAAACACACCCAAGATAAATAAAATAGGCTGGATTTCACTCCCACTGATTTAGGAGTTTTGCCCTTGACTTGACAAGGCTCTGGTTGCAAAATGTGACCACCCCTAAGTTAATGTGACCTTTAGATTTCACTTTGCCATCTTGTATTTTACCCATATACACAATCATATTGTGTAGTCTGGGGTTGGAATTTGGCTGAGAAATGGTGGTAGGATATTTTATAGAGAGTGCGTACAGAAATCTGAACCATGTACAAACCAAAACCCATGATACAGATACTTTAAAGTTTTGAAGTTAAGGTCTAGATCCATATGGTTCATATCAGAAAACCCAAGAACTGTGAGGGAATTTGGATCTCAATTTAAATAGTGAGCTACACATGATAGTAACCTTTCTTGTAAAGTGGGTCATATTAAATGAAGGTTATATATTTTTTCTGACTCCTGAAATTTGGTTGACTTCAACAACATTTATTCATAATACCAGAGACATATGGTAGAGGTGTGGGAGAGGAAAACCCTTAACCTACATATACATTAAGATCTGGAAAATGTGACACAGGATGACGTTTTTGTTTCATCACTGCTTCACAAATCTCATTGATACCAGACAGCTGTATCCTAAACAGTGAGTACAGCTGAAAGTGCATGTTTTGACTTGGACTTGAAGTTACATAGATTGTGCATTGATCTCCTCTGTCTCATCTGCTTCAGAAAGAGTGGTGTGAGGCATAAGTGGCAGGAGAAAATATTATTTGGAGTGCACCCACTTGCCCCTCCCTCCTGCAGGGCTGTTGTGGGGGCCAGCGCATGCTGGTGCTATATGCACAGTGGCAGCAGAGCATGCGGTAGGGGCTTTGGGAGTGGTGGGGCATGGCAGTGGTGCTGTCACTGGCCACTGTGAAATTAGTTGGGGGGGGGGGCCAAGACCCATTAGTCCCAGCCTTCTACTGCCTAGGGTGTGAGGCATCTTGCCCTAGGAAGGAGACAAGCCTCATAGGGTTTCTCTATACAGCTGCAGGGACATGTCTGTACATCTGGAGAACAGATATGGATCCCTAGCAACAGAGGAGAAGGAGCATGTTCTGTCAGCAAAAGAGGCCAGGTCAGGTCTCCCCAAGGTTGGGAGGATTGAGACCATTGCCACCAAAAGGAAGCAATGGGTGGTGGTGGTTGGCATCTCCCTTCTGTAGGGGACAGAGACATCCATCTGCTGGCCTAACCTTTTGTCACAGGAGGTCTGCTGCTTGTCTGGAGCCTGAATGCAAGATGCCATAGATGGATTACCAAGACTCATCTGGCCCTCTGACGACTATTCCATGCTTTCACATGGGCCAGTGATACTGTCATATCGGACCTAGAGCAGATCAAAAGTGACTCTGGGTACAAGGGTAAAGGGGACAGGGACTCAGGTGGTGTTCTCTTGGGTCGTTCTGGTCAAGGGGAAAGGCCCGGGCTAGATCAGACGCATCTTGCAGATCAGTGCATGGCTGTACAGATGGTGTCACAAGCAAGACCTTGGCTTCTTTGACCTTAGGATGTTGTTCCAAGAAGATCAAGAATGGTGATGTCATGGTAGAGGTCTGCTATAAACCACCAAACCAGAAGGAGGACATAAATGAGGCTTTCCTCAAACCGCTAGTATAAATTTCCAGATAACAGGCCCTGGCTCTCATAGGGGATCTCAGCACCCTGACATCTGCTGGGAGGGCAATATAGCAGTAAGCTATAGCATTCAGGATGTTTTTGGAGAGTGTTGGGGACAACTTCCTTGTGCAAATGTTGGAGAGACCAACTAGGGGCTGTGCTTTTCTTGACCTTATGCTCAAAACTAGGGAAGAATTGGTGGGGAATGCAGCAGTGGATGGCAATTTGGGCAGTGACCACTAGATGACTGAGTTCAGGATTCTGAGCAAAGGAAGGAAGGAGAGCAACAGAGTAAGGACCCTGGACTTCAGAAAAGCAGACTTTGACTCACTCGGGGAACTGATAGAAAGGATCCCCTGGGAGACCAGTCTGAGCGGAAAAGGAGTCCAGGAGAGCTGGTTGTGCTTTAAAGAAACCTTACTGAGGGCACAAAAATGAACCATTGTGTTGCACAGGAAGATTAGCAAATATGGCCAAAGACCAGCTTGGCTTAGCAGGGATATCTTTAGCTGGCTAAAACACAAAAACAAAGCTTATAAGAAGTGGAAATGTGGACAAACAACAAGCGAGGAGTATAAGAGTATTGCTCAGGCATGCATGGATAAAGTTAGGAAGGCCAAAGCACAATTGGAGTTGCACATAGCAAGGGACATGAAGGATAACAAGAAGGGTTTCTACAAGTATGTCAGCAGCAAGAGGAAGATCAAGGAAAGAGTGGGTACATTACTGAATGGGGAAGGCAACCTAGTGAGATAGGATGTAGAAAAGGCTGAAGTAGTCAATGCCTTTTTTACCTAATTCTTCACAGGCAGGTTCAGCTCCCAGAGTTGCGATGAGGTGGAACTATTTACAAAAGTTGTACAGGTACAACTCCATGGGGCCAGATGCAATGCACCCGAGGATGCAAAGGGAGTTTGCTCAAGTGATTGCAGAGCCATTAGAACATTTGTGGTGATCAAGAGAGGTCCTGGATGATTAGAAAAGGTCAAATATAGTTCCATCTTTAAGAAAGGGAAGAAGGAGGATCTGGGGATTTGTAAATCAGTCAGCCTCACCTCGTCCCTGGAAAAATCATGTATCAGGTCCTCAAGGAATTAATTTCTAAGCACTTCATAGTTTCATAGTTTCTAGGGTCGGAAGGGAC